CATTTAACATGTGATCTACCCTCTTAACAAATTTTAAGTGTACAATGCAGTATTGTTAACTATTGTGACTACGCTGTACAACAGATCTCTAGAACTTATTCATCTTACATAATTGAAACTTTATACCTACGTTACAACTCTTCATTTCTCCCTCCCTCCAGCCCCAGGCAACCACCATTCTATTCTCCGCTTCTATGAGTTTGACTATTTTAGATACCTCATCTAAGTGGAATGATGAAGTATTTATTTGTCCTTCTGTGATTGCTTTATTTCACGTAGCGTAATGTCTTCAAGGTTTATCCTTGTTGTTGGATATGGCAGGGTTTACTTCTTTTTAAAGGTGCAATAATATTCCATTGTATATACATACCATATTTTCTTTATATTCATCCACGCTTGGACATTCATGTTGTTTCCAGATCTTGGCTATCGGGAATAAAGCTGCCTTAACCGTGGGAGTGCAGGTGTCTCCTGGTATTCCAGAATCTTGATGAGCCTCATATTATCATTATTGACAGCTACTGAGATTTTATTTAGTCATGCAGAGACGATAAATATATTGCTCTGGTTAACAGACTCCAGATGACAAGAAATGTAATGATTCCCCTGATATGTTGTAGGCAAACGTTATGAAGGCCAATGGTCCTGTTGTGGATTAAGCTGTTACTATTTTGTCATGGAAAATAAAAACTGGAAGGGATGTAAACAGACTTGCCGAAGTTACACATCCTCCCTTTTGAAGATAGATGATGAAGATGAACTGGTACCGTGGACTCTTACATTCACTTTTATTCTCTTGGACTCTGTCTTTCACCCTTGAACCTAAGATATTGAGGACAGGCAGGAATCCAGAAAGAGAGACCTTTCGCTGTTGTTCATGTTGTGCCTGTTGTGTGAGCAAAAACCGTATAGTTAAGGGTCTCATAGGAGACCCCTGCCTGCTAATAGAGATATGATCCTGCTACTTACTAAGTATTGGATACATATTATCTATTATGATGACTATTATTATTAAGAATGCAGTCTGGGTTTTTGCAATCATCTCACTTTCCAAGGAGTCTACAATAGAGTCACCCACAGAGAAGTATGCTTTCCCTTCTTTGAAGTTCTTAACCCTTTGGTAAATTGCAGCTTGGAACCAATAGTTATTTATCTCTATAAGGTGGCAACTAAGAATTGGGAGGCAGAATAGTCTAGTTGTTACTATTAGGAACCCAGGAGCCAGGCTGCCTGGGATCAAATCCAGCTCTACCGCTTATTAGCTGGGTGACTTTCAGTAAATTACTTACCTTCTCTTGGCCTATCTGCAAAATGGAGGTAATAATGAGGAACTTAAAAGTGGTAAGTTTTACAAACTAGCCTCATAGTGATTTTCATTGCATCTGCAGGTAACATTTACTTGATCAGCATTCTTATGTATTATATCAAGATGTATCTCCTTAAGACATAAAAAGAGAAAAATATAGTGACAACAATATTGAATCCTAAAAAATTTATTACTAACAAAAATTATCCAGATACATAAAATATGTTTTTTATAGAGACATGTTTGCAAAGATCAGCCTGAAAACTCTATTTATCATTTAGGAAAACAGTATAAAATTTGTATGCAAATCTAATAAATGTTTAAAATCACAACAAAAAGAATTCCTGATATCAAGTTATGAAATAATTATTTATGTTCAATGTAGTAAAACATAATTAAATTTAAACTTACATTTTAAATACACTCAGTCATTTAATCAGACATTATGTAATATGTCACTTTGATATATCACATTTTAGATATAGTGAATACTTC